TGGCCAGCTCGTTTCAGTTCCTTTTACGTTTTTCCCTCAAGTCCAGGACTCAATCCCGTTCTTTTATCCTAAAGAAATGCCACTCTAACCAACCCCGCACCCCCAGTCTTTTTGGCACAAGACTCATCCCAGTATTTCCAATTCCCTCCTAGGTAAGGTTGACAATTCCAGCTCTGGGAATCTTTAGTATGTAGGGAGCATCTACAAGTGACCCTAGGCTGTATACCAACACCAACAGCCAGCAGAGCAGGAGCCCGAGACCCAGATGGCCGTGAAATTACATGCACGTGTTAATGGATGTGGGCCCTTCTTTGGGGAGTGCATCAGTAGCTTTCATCAAGCTTTGATGGAGGTCCTTGGGCCACACAATGTTAATAATGACCAAGATAGAGGGACTTGGATGCTTGAATCACCCACTGAGTATTTTGACAGAACACCCAGTCCTTAGGTTTCCAGCTGGCCGCATGGCTTGGTGAATCAGACAACTGTACACTCAAGAGGAATGGAGATTGAGAGATATGGGGAAGCATGGCCTTTGAGGGCTCCACTAGAGACCTGTCCCTCTGCTAAAGCCCACACAACTCAGGCCTGGACATGACCTCCAAGTCCCACTGAATGAGCCAATCCACACTCCCCTGAACTACACAAGAACACAGCTGGGTCTAGTATAAAGAGCACAAGGAGGCAGCAGATCTGAGTTTTAGCTTTTAGGATGACTTCTGTCATGTGGTTAGCTGTGTGACCTTAGGCAGCTCACTGTACTTCTCTGGTCCTCATTTTCCTCATCCAAACAGAACATCCACACCAGATGAATTTCACAAGGCACCTGTAGCTCTACCATACTATGACTCTGCCCTCCTGGACAGGCATTTCCACTCAGCCCTCCAGAACAGAGAATGACTTCACTCTCAATTTCCAGTATCACATCTTAAAGTCACACCGTTTTCTCTTGTGGCTAAACCCAAATCCTTCCTACTGCACCCGAAGCTTGCTGCTTTCATGCGGGGAATGGCTGGTCCGTGTACAGAGCACTGTAGACTATACCTCTAATGCCTTCACATCAGTCTTTACCTCAAACCCAGTTTGTAATGATCATTAGCAGTAAATCCTCGAGAACTCCATTATTCTAATGGCCACGGCCTCCTAGTGGTAAAATGGACCCCGGAAACTGTGCTCAAGAAACCTCTCCTGCAAACAGGACTCTGGCCCAGATGGGCCACTGGGGCCACTGGAGATGAGCCCTGCAGCAGCCAGCTTCCAAGATGGTCCTTTCGAACTGCTTCTGCAAGAGGATGAGTGTGAAGGATAAAAGCAACTTCCCAACTACATTTAATTCCCACCTCCAGGGTTTGCTGGTCAGCAGGGTGTGTTCAGATTGACGGGACTTTTCTTGAGGCTGTACTGATGATACCTCTGGACCAGGAAATTAAAGGCCACACTGAAATTGCCAGGATGTGAAAGGAAGTAAGCCCAGAGAACTGAGTCACTCAAGGTTGAATGAGGATAGGTCTTTGCAGTCAAAGCAGAGCAGAGAACTGAGGCAGTCTGCCCAATAATGCAGCAGAAAAACAGGATCGGGGCTGGAACTATCAGGATAATTGCCTTAATTTTTCACTTCCCTTTCATAATAACCTTGAGTTTATATACAGCCTTTCTTCTAAGGAGCTCAAAATACTTGCAGAGATATTATCTTAGTTGTCATCACACCATCACAGTCAATGATTATTATCAACTTCATTTTACACATGGGGGAAGGAAAGCCTGGAGGGCTGAAGCGAGTCATCCAAGTTTACCCAGCAAGACACCGACAGCCTCCACACTCAGCACAAAATGCTCTTGCCCAGCATTGCCCAAAGAATGTTCTTCTCTGCACCAGCCCAGCCAAATGCTTGTTGGAACACCAGGTTCTGTGGGAAAATATATCTGGGAAATGCTGCTTATTCTCTTCTCCTGGAGAGTCACAATATACCCTAGCCTAGTAAAGGCTTTTAGAAGCCTTGCAATAAGCAAAACCGTTTTTGTTTAAGCAAGAATTTCTCAAAGTAAACTTAACCACAAAACTGTGTGTGTGTGTGTGTGTGTGTGTGTGTGTGTGTGTGTGTACACCTACTAACATCCTATGGAACTAGTCTTTTTTGGAACCCACACTGGGAAGCACTGTCCTAGCCAGTAGACTAATCCGAGTATTAGCACAGCAACAGATCAATTCCATTCCAGCCCAAGCTGGGGGGCGGGGGGTGTTTTTAGAGCTACTGCCTGATACCTTCTGGTATTGACAGCCAGTGAACAAAGGAACTTGATGCGCCCAAAGGACCCCAGGCCATCACTTCCTCTGCAGCAGGGCACTGGCCAGATGGGAAGAAGCCAATTCAAACTCACCCACTTCTGCTGGCACTCCTTTTTAATAGAACCCAGGGCTCTTTTTGGTGTTCATTTAAGGGAGGCGATGCTCGGGATGCTGGTCCAAACCCTCAGAGCCCCACTCTTAACTTGCAGAATTTTGTGCCCACCAGGCACTTCCAGTAGAAATCATCCATCTCTTAGGTTCATTTCCAGTGCCATTCATCAGCCTGTGCAATCAGTGCCAACACAACAAAACAGGAGAACATGCCCCTGTTCTGGCTTCACTGCAAGAGTATTAGAGTAGTCATTGTATATCCATTTCAGAACTAACACACAGCACAGAAATCTTGTGCTATTATTAATTACCAGTGACACTACTAAAAGTACCTAAGATGTAAAACTCCCTGAAGACCCTGTCCTGATTAATTTGTATTTTATATACAATTCAAATGATGAAAGATCACAGACAATGGATTTAATATTTACTACTGACATTTTCATGTTTTCTTTTAGTGTTTATTAAACATCCACACCATGAGGGAAAATGCTTCCACTGAAATTGGTAAATTTGTGTGCAAAAAGTCAATGTAATGCAAGTATACCTTTCTGTATCCATCCATTGGCTATGCAAACAATTCTGTGTAAATGGATTTTTGGTAAAAATATTCACTGTAAAGGTCACAGGGGCACTGTTATTTAAGATGATTTGATTATGAATCCTTTTGTAAAGCAACAAATTCTGCAATGTGAATACTGTCCATCTAGTTCGTTTGCCTTATAAATCCATACTTACACATATCAGATTTGCTTAAAGCAAAACATACTAATATTAATAAATAAGCTAGACATTTTTAAAAATGGGGATGTGTTCTGATCCTTATCAGTCTGCAGTACTGGCTCCTTTTTGATTCACCATTAATCACCATCCCAGTCCAGGGAGATTCATCCTGAGTTTGTTGAGAATGTGACAGTAACACTTCCAAGGACTCCCTGCAGTTTTACTTAACTATGACCCTTCTGCCTTTATATATGCTGTCCCTTCAACTTAGCCATCCGGTGAATTAATTCTTCAACTCTCACTCAAATGTCACTTCCCCTGTGAAGACTTCCTTGATCATTCTCCCCTCCTCCAGCCAGGCATCCGTCTTCCATGCTCTCACAGTACCCTGCCCGGCCGTTGTCAAACTCTACTGTAATGATCTGTTTACACATTCTCTCTTGCCTACCACACTATGCACTCCCTGAGAGCTGAGATGATGTTTTATTCATTTATTCATTGCTATACTTCCAATACCTAACACTACTGGCACATAGCATGTGTTTAATAAATGCCAGTTGTTTGAATGATCACTGTCCTTAACTGTACATTTCTGAATGCTGAAAAACGCTTTATTAAAACCATAAATTAAAATGTCAAAGAGGAGGTTTACCAGTTTTGTTCATTTTATTGATACCTTCTCTCTTTGATTAAAAAAAAAAAGAGCATGCCAATTCACACCTTATGGGTCAACAACAACAAAAAACTCTCAGCCAAATTCACAACTAAGACATAGTGCTTTTAGTATGCCCCTTTTTCTCCAAACATACAGCTACAACCTAACCCACCACTAACATAACTGCAGTAAAGAAGACATGAGGATCCACTAATTAAAGGGGTGGGGTGAGGAAGTTAGGAGGGGGGGAGTTACTGCAGAGATCACTGTAAGAGCTTTGTATCCTCATTGGCTGAGAGAGAGAAGCCTGCCAAGAAAGTTGGGCATCTTTGGGGAAAAATAATGATGTCCAGTAAGACCTGGCCAATGTGGCTAGAAATTCCACATCCAGAATGTCCTAAGCAACAGCCCCAGCTGGGGGCTTTCCATCACTTTGAAACCATCATCACCCTTCCGACATGGGCAGAACAGGTTGGACCTGATCGGCCTGCGTATTACTGCAATCTGGCTTGACATGGGATGATACCCAAGGGCATGTAATGCCAGAAGTAGCCCAGCCCCATGGCGCGCGCACGCGCTCACACACACACACACACACACACACACACACACACACACTCACACACTCACACACACACACCACACTCCAACTCACACTCACCGAATCCCACATAAAACCTGCACCATCTCCCACATCTGCATTCCCGTGTGCCCAGTCACACACGGGGAGTGCCCCCTCACATTCCCTCACTTCCCTAGACTGCCCGGCCCACACCCCACTCTACGGGCAGACTGCAGCCTAGCCTGGAACTGGAAGCTGGTGGGGACTGGTTTTGTTGTACGCAACAAAGCCCCATGCACCCAGGTGCCCCGCTGAATCGACTCCATCCATCTCTCCCCTCCCCCATCCATGAGCTCCCAGACAAGAGAAAGCTCAGCTCTGGGAAGTGGATGCGGGGAGCGGGGGCGAAAGAAAGAGAGCTTTAGGGGTGGGCGGGGGCAGGAGTCCGGGCAGCTTCCGAGCTATCTCGCCATGAAGCGACAGGGACGGCGAACTGGCAAAGGGACCGAGCTGCCTTCCCACCCCCCCGCACCCCATCTATTCATAGAAAAAGACCCAAAACTGAGAAATAATCTACCCTCCCATCCGCCCCATGCCCTCCTAACGGCTCTTGGAGCCACTGGCGCTCCAACAGCCTGCAACAAAGCGCCCCCGACACAGACCTGTTCCAGCCTCTTACTGGCCCGAGCGAAGGGGAGCCGCGGCTGAGGGTTCTGCGCTTCGCCGCCGGGCAGCAGGCGCCAAGGGATGGGAGGGGGAGCAGGAACTGGGAGAGGAAGGAGAACAAGAGGGGACAGGAGGCGCGGCGGCAGCGGAGGCGGCGGCCGGAGGAGGAGGCGGCGGAGGCTGCGGAGGCGGCGGCCTCTGTGGCAGCTGCTGAGGATGCTCTGGCGAGGGGCAGGGCTGGGTGCGCGGGGCGTGGGCTCACGTGCGCCCCATGGCCCGGGGATGCGCGCGCGTCTGGGTGTGTAAGAGCATCTGGGTGTATTTTGACTGTGATTATTCCAATTCCGACCTAGTCTGGAACTTGTGGTTCCTGCAGCCGGGCGGAAGTGAAACCCTTTCAGTCTCCCAAGCCTGACTATGCCGGCCAGGGGATGGGAGTTGGGGGTGAGGGAGCAAGATGGGGAAGAAGGGGTTCAGTACCAGGGCGCCAGGCCTGCCACCAATGAACACATCCCTACCCTTCAGTCTTCCTTCTGGGCCCTGGTAAATTGCATCCACACATATCTTTGGGAAACCTATAGCTAAGGAGAATAGAAAGAGACCAAGAGACCAAGGACAGTCACCATCACATCCTACTGAGTGAGCTGTTCATACTATGCTCAGTGCTGTCTGGACTACCCAGAGGGCAATTGCTGTTCTACCTTGGAATTTACTTTCACGAGTTGAGGTACCCATAATTTCATACAGGTTCTGAGTTCTGCCTTTCCTCCTGTCTCTCATTCCGTTGCAAAATCTCTGTGCTTGTAACCAAGGTGGCACACAATCAATTCTCTACGCTTTAGTCTGCTCACCAAGCCAATATTATCCAGATCCCCGGCTTCAGTGGTGTCAAGGGGTCACTTAACCCTCATGTCACTCTCCCTCTAGGAGTGGGGCACTCATTTTAGATGAGAACCAAGACTGGTTTCCTCGAAGTCAGCGGATTGAAGATCATCATGGATCCAGCTGGAGACTCAGTTTGGATCTGCACCCCTAAACCGAAGATAAAGGGAAACCAATTGTGAGAGGCATAATTTTTCTCTATGATGTCATCCTTGGTGAACCCCTTGCTTGGAGCCCTGCTGAAAATCTTCCCACTAGTGACGTCTTGAGCATTCCTCTTCATCTTGCCTAATGGTTTCTGCTTGTACAGCACTTTGGGATTTACAAAGTACTTCCTCATAGTGGAATCCCTACGCTATCATCTCGGTGAATTAGGCAAGGAAAATATCATTATTTGTATTTTACATAAGAGGAAACAGATTCAGAAAAATTAAGTGGATTTGCCTAACATTACAGGCTAATAAGTGGCAGATCCAGAATTGGGACTCAGGTCTTCAGATTTCTAGGGCAAAACTTTTTTTTTTCTCTTTGCTGCACTGTGCAGCTTGTGAGATCTTAGTTCCCTGGCCAGGGATCGAACCCGGACCCTGGCAGTGAAAGCACTGAGTCCTAACCCCTGGATCGCCAGGGAATTCCCAAAGCTCCTTTTTAAATGACATCTTGGAAAGAAATTTCAGATGCATCTATTGATCTCCATGTTGGAGAGTAATGGTTTAGTGCCTTGGCTAAATTGAAATTAACTAAAATGAGATTTTGAAAAAGTATTTCAGTTAGGTCTATATATTCAGGTGCAACTCACAAGTTAGTAAGTAGAAAAGAGGTAACAACTTTTAGGCCTCAGTACCCAATCAGCAGATAAAATTATTCCTCTGATTCTGCTACCAACAGCTACTGTAAGAATAATTTGTTACAGAAAGGACAGTAGGAAGAGGCATGTAACATAGACATTTGAATTTCCTGAGGTGGTAATCTTGTGAATGTTTCCCCCAGGAGCTAGATCTTTGTCTTCTAAGTCATGAGAATGAAATGGAAGAAAATAACTACCTGATGATCCTGAGCATGTAGGCCGCCCCCCTCACTGGTGCCTAAGGATTGATCATGTTAACTGCCCTGTTACCTCAACATCAACCAATCAGAGAATTGTGCACGAGATAATCACATACCCTAAGACCCCCTCCCTCACCTTGCTTCTAAAAATGCTTTGCTGGGGGAATTCCCTGGTGGTCCAGTGGTTAGGCCCAGGTTGATTCCCTAGTTGGGGAACTAAGATCCCGCATGCGGCTCCGTGCGACGAAGAAAAAAAAGCTTTGCTGAAACCCTTTGGGGAGTTTGGGGTTTGGGGAGGATCATGAACACCCCCGCCCCAGTTCTCCTTGCTTGGTCCTGCAATAAACCTTTCCCTGCTCCAAACCTCGAAGTTTCGGTATTGTTTGGCCTCACTGTGCGTCGGGCACACGAACTTGCGTTTGGTAACAATACAAGTGCCTAAGACATAGCAAGACTCAATAAATGATAGGTATTATTGTTAGAGAGAATAAAAGCAACAACTACATTAATTGGTTTTCTCCATTAAAAGCAGAAATCCTTTATTACTACTGGTACCTCAATACTGAGAGAATGCAGGGGAAGAGATTGCTTTTCTCCAGGATAGGAGAGATCAAGTGGTGGTTCTAGGAGACAGGCATGATACACAAAGAGAGACGAGGGATCTTCTGCAACTACTGAGGACCAGCATGGAACTAAGAAGAGAACAGGATCAGAAGAGGATGATGAAAAGAGGGCATCTAGAATTGGGAGTATATGCCGGTTAACGGTTTTGTAACAATGTACAATGTACATGGTTTACTCAAAGGGGTGTTTTGGCTCTTCTAAACAAGTTCCTGTTTATCAGAAGACCTAAGAAAGAACTCCATTCAAAGTCTGTCAGAAATACCTGAATTTGACGTTTGGCCAGGGACTCCCTGTTCTGATTTGGTACCAAATAGAGATTATTCTTATTTGAGCCTTGCCAAGCAAAGAGAGGTTGAGTCATAACAATGCTCAGAGCCAAGATGCAGAAAAATTGTGAAGGAGGTGAAATCTGTCTCCGACACTCTTCCAGTTTCTCTCTGTTACACCCTTATCTTCCCACTTAAACTCTCTGGACATCAGAATCCCTGCATTTCCCAACCGTGCAAAAGTGACCTGATTTAGTTCTTTACAATGAAGTGCCTTTACATGCTTCTCTTCTCAAAAGGTAGACTAACAGGAGGAAGCAATGCTAAAACCAATGAAATGGATCACTAATGGTAGAAGTTCAGGCATTTGGAGTGGTAAAGATAGCTTGGGTGCCCTCAGATCATTTAGGTATGAGACTCTCCATGAATAAGACCAGACCTTGGAAATGTAAGTTCACGTCACAACAGAAACCCAAAACAAGAAGAGGCATTAGTTATTATTTCCAGTCCAACCCTTTTGTTTCACAAGCCATTAAACCAAGGCTCAAAATGGTTAAGTGACTCTTCCAAGACCACATAGCCCCCAAGAAGGAGAGCCAGGACTTGAATTCCAATCACAGATCTTTTTCCACTACATTGTCCTACTCCATCAGCTGGGAAGAAAACCAGGAACAATTGCTTAGAATTGATATTTGAGACTTTATTCCAGGTACATAGGGATGGCATGAAAATAAGAATAGAGGAGCAAAATGAAGGTGCAATCCTCTTTCTTTAGCTTGCTCCTCACAAGTAGCTATTTCAAACAAGACTGACATGCAGAATGGTCTATGTGATGCCAGGCACCTGACTCTGGAAATGATATTAGAGGTATAAGACTAGGCTGAGGGTGGACAGAGCCCTGGTCACTCCCTGAATCATTTTTTTATTATTGTGGTAAGAACATTGAACATGAGATCTACTGTTTAAACAAATTTGTAAGTGTACAATACGGTACTGTTAACTATAGGCACAATGCTGTACAGCAGATCTCTGGAATTTAGTCGTCTTGCATCACTGAAACTTTATACCCATTGAACAGCACCTCCTTATTCCCCCTCCTCTCAATCCCTGGCAACCACCATTCTACTCTCTGGATATTGGGGTGCTGATAGGAATTGCATTGAATCGGTAGGCCGCTTTGGGTAATATGGACATTTTAAGAGTATTATAAAGTCTTTTAATCTATGAATATGAGATGTCTTTCCATTTATTTGTCTCTTTTTACATTTCTTTCATCAATGTTTTGTAGTTTTCAATATACCAGTCTTTGACCTCTTTGATTAAGTTTATTCCTAAGCAGTTTATTATTTTTGATGTGATTATAAATAGTATTGTTTTCTTAAACTCCTTTTTGAATAGTTCACTGTTAGTGTACAGAAACGCAACTGACTTGTGTATGTCATCTGAAAACAGCAATAATTTTACTGCTTCCTTTCCAATTTGGATGCCTTCTTGTTCCATCTAATTGCTCTGGCTAGGACTGCCAGTACTATGTTGAATAAAAGTGGCAAGAGTTGGCATCCTTGCCATGTTCCTGATCTTAAAAGAAAAGTCTTCAGTTTTTCACCACTAAGAATGATGTTAGCTATGGGCATTTCATATATGACCTTTATTATGTTGAAGTGATTTCCTTCTTTTTTTTCCAGCTTTATTAAGGTATAATCAGCAAATTAAAATTGTATTTGTACAAATCGTAAATTTGTACAATTGTAAAATTGTATTTAAGGTGTGCAACGTGATGTTTCGATATATGTATACACTGTGAAGTGACTACCACAATCAAGCTAATTAACACATCCATCACCTCACATAGTTACCTTTCTTTGTGTGTGTGGCAAAAACACGTAAGATCTACTTTAGCGAATTTCAAGTATACGATACAGTATTATTTATGGTCACCACGCTGTATATTAGATCCCCAGAACTTATTCATCCTGCATAACTGAAACTTTGTACCCTTTGACTAAGGTAATTTCCTTCTACTCCTGGTGTATTGAGAGGTTTTTTAAATTATTATTATGAAAGGATGTTGAATTCTGTTAAACGCTTTTTCTGCATCTATTGAGATGATTATGTTATTTTTATCTTTCATTCTGTTGATGTGGTGCGTCACATGAATTGATTTTTTTTTTTTTTTTCTTGCGTTATGCGGGCCTCTCACTGTCGTGGCCTCTCCCATTTGCGGAGCACAGGCTCCGGACGCGCAGGCCCAGCGGCCATGGCTCATGGGCCCAGCCGCTCCGCGGCATGTGGGATCCTCCCGAAACGGGGCACGAACCCGCGTCTCCTGCATCGGCAGGCGGACTCTCAAGCACTGCGCCACCAGGGAAGCCCATGAATTGATTTTTATATGTCGAACCGTCCTTGTATCTAAAGAATATATCCCACTTGGTCATGGTATGTGATCCTTTCAATGTGCTGTTGATTCTGGTTTGCTAGTATTTTGTTGAGGATTTTCACATCTATGTTCATCAGGG